TTGTTATCATTAGTCATTGGAGAAATGCAAATCAAAACTACAACAAGATACTACTTCACACATGTTAGGTTGGCCATAAAAAACTAAACCAAAACCAAAATAGAAAAATAATGTGTTGGCAAGGATGCTGAAAAACCGAAACTCTAATACATTGCTGATGGGAATGTAAAATGTCAGGCCTTAAAAACTAACGCCACCTTAAGTGACATTACAAGCCGCGCCATTATGGGCCTGCAAGGGCGTATTAACGTGGCAGCCTAAGACGGTGCTGGGAGGAAGTAGGGTGGAAGCGTCTGCGGGAACCTTGCCTTAGCCCATATTGGCCAAATATGCGCTTCTGCGCTCGTGAACACTGCGTGATTGCAAGAGCTAGGCATTGAGACAGGATGCATGTTCTCCTAACCTTTAAGCTGATTGGAGGATGTAAAAACCTCCCTTCCCCATTTGCCTTTAAAAGCAAGTGCTTCTGTGGTAATAAACAGAACCGCCTGACAGAACCCCCGCTGCATCTGAGTGTCCTTTAACCGGGCTGGTTTGGGGCCGGCAGTGTGCTCACCTCTCTTCATGGCTCTCTTCCCCCGTCTCCTTCCAAAGGGGACTGGAGGGAAAGAGGAATCCGGGCCATTCGCTCACCCACCGAAAGGAATGAGGCTAGGGCTGTTCGGGTCGGCGGCAGCAGACCCAACAGTAAAATGGTGCAGCCATTGTAGAAAACAGTTTAGTGGTTACTCATAATTAAACATAGAAGTACCAGAGGACCTAGCAGTTCACAAGTATATGCACAAAAAGTTGAACATAGGTGTTCATGTGAAAACCTGTACATGAATGTCCATAGCAGCTCTGTTCACAAACAGGCAAAAGGTGGAAACAACCCAAATGTCCATTAGGTGATGAATGTCTAAACAAAATGTGGTATATTCATACAATGGAATAATGTTTAACCATAAAAAGGAATGAAGCACTGATACATGCTACAATGTGGATGAACCTTGAAAACATTATGCTAAGTAAAAGAAACCAGACACAAAAGGCCACATATTGTATGGTTCCATTTATATGAAATATCCAGATTAAGCAAATCTGTACGGACAGAAAGGGCATTAGTGGTTTCCTGGGGATAGGGAGAAAGGAGAACCCATGGTGTGACTAATGACGATGGGTTTTCAGTTTGGGATGATGGAAATGTTCTGGAATTTAGTGGTGATCATTGCCCAA